CTATGGATAAAAATGCATAGCATTAAGAAATATTAAAACAATGGCAAATGTAGAGACGGTGTTGAAAATAGTATGATCTGAGAATTCAGAACAAATTTTTCTTGTGACTAAATTTGGATCAAAATCCAGAGGAAAGGGAATAATTATTAAAGGGCAATACATACATTGCTGATGGGAATTGAAAAAGAAATTTAGAGAGGATATACTGTCATTGAAAGTCAATAATGGAGTAAATAATAATACAGTAGAAATATTACATATATAGTTATGTATATGTGTATGCATACATTTAGTCTATCAACACCATCAAATTAACTCCACTGATTTTATCTCCTTTACATAACACGAATCCATTCACTCCGTGTTGCCCCTACTGTTAGCCAGTTTTGATCCAGTTCAAACTTTTTTTTGACTCGTTTATACTTGTTAAAACTTGAATTGACCACTGAGGGATACAGGCCATACCTTTGAAGATAGACATACAGTAAATTAGGAGAACGTCTGAATGTATTCTGGTGTGGAATTCCTGAAAAGGGAGAGAAGTGAAACAAGATGAGGATTCTTTGAGTGTTCTAATTTTCTCATTCTGGTATTCAACCTCCACTCCTATTCAATTGAAGTTTATACTGCCAGTAAAACTCTGAAACATTTATTTAGAGAGAAGTCAAAAGGCCCTCAACCTAAATTAGATTCTCTAAGATTCAATACAAGTCCCAGGAGGATATGATGTGATAGAATAAGTCTCACTGGCTGTGGTCTAATGATAGATTATCTGTGGACAGGACAGGCTTCCTACATGAGTACAATCCAGAGGGTGGAAACAGCTATTTCCCTGCATTCTTCACTGGGCTGGCTGGCAGAAAACCCCATTCTAGAAATTGAACTCTTGTTTATTTTCTATAAGATCACTCACACCTCAGTGTCTCAGCCTGAACATATGTGCCCCTGGGTACAGTGATGCTGATGTCAGTGATAAGGTAGTTATCTCTGATGCCTTTCTCTATATCTAGTCCACCACTGACTTTCACTGCTTGTGTCTCCTGCACATAGCACAAATCCAGCCACTCCTCCACATTGCTGCTACACTATCCAGCCTCCATCTCCTTTCATTTGGATCATTTCAATAACCTTCTAACTATTTGAATCGGCTGCCTTTCCATAGTCCCAAAATGGCCATATGGTATTGGTAAATGATATTTTTCTTGGTTGTTGTGGTTATTAATTTAGACTTGAGACTTGATTATGTAAATACCAACTTTGCATTTCTCATAGGAGATCACTAAATTGTTCACGTACCCTGCATATTCACTTCTTGCCTATATTTGCTCCCCATCTCAGTCCTTCTGTCTTGTGCAAGGTCTTCCATTTCGATTAGACCCAAGCTCTCACTGGCCTCAGTGCCCGCACTCAAACTGGCTCCCTGCTAGGATACTGTTTATCTCACTCTTTGCCTGATTATCTGGTTAATTCCTATCAACGAATTCTTCATCTTATAATTAAGGTTGCAATCTCTTCTGTTTATATTTTATTTATACCTCATTTTTAAAAATCAATCACTGTATCGAAAATTTTAAAGCCACGTTTTATGGTAATGGCTTGCTTAATATTTGCGACATTTACTAAAATGTAAGCTTTGTGAGGACATATAATAGATTCATGGTAATAAGCTAAGTTTCAGAGTTAACCAGGAGCCAAAATGAAGGAGTATGTGGGTGTGTGTGTGCATGTGTATGCATATGATACAAAAGTATCTTTATTTTATCTTGGAGGTAGTGGAGAGCTACTGGAAACTTTTAAGTAAAGTGATAGTATGATCAAGTTTGTATTCAGCAAGATCTTTATGATTTCTCAATGCAACATGATCAGATATGTATACTGCCAGAGGCCAGGAGATTCAGATGAGAATATTGAAGGGTGAAATTAGAACAAGAATGTACTTAATACATTAGAATCCAGTGTCAATAAGTGGTTAAGTTCTCTGGGAAACTATAAGGCAGAAATTAATGAATTGCTTCTTATGTCATCCACATTTGAGAAAAAGGAACCAGATTGAACATGGATGGAAGTCAAGTTGTGGTCCAAACACCATGAAGAGTTCCAAAGTGAGTTCTGGATCTGGAATTACTCTCAGACTTAACTCCCAGTTGGGGCTCTCAGATTGAAACTTTATATCCCTATGTTAATCAGTCATTGGGTATAGCCTGCCCCCATGGATGGAAATGGCTTGAGCAAGGGTCTCTTTCCACCAGTTCCTGAAGGAGGCTGATGGTGGAAGATGGGAGCATGACAGGAAGAGGAGAGGTGGTGGCTTTCATGAGACTTCCTAGACAGCATGTGAGCTGAGAAGAATACACAGGTATATACGGGACCCTGGAAGAAATGAATAAATGAAACAAACATGGCTAAGATACCTATAAAAAGAAGAGTCTGCGAATGAACAGATACAGAAATACTAAGCATGTTGATGTAACCAAAGCAATTGAGACAAAAACCAGACAAAAAAAAAAAAAACTTTCCTGGGTGTTTTCTTGGGACCAAATACGCTGTACACATTCCATAAATTTGATCTTCAAAGCAGCCTTATAAGGTTGGTGTTATGATTATTCTGATTATGTAGCAAAGATAATTTTGAGAGATTCAAAAATATTGTCAAGATGGATCACTAAGTCATCATGCCAAGACCAAATCTCTCCCCAAAGCACATGATCTTTCCCACCTTATAAGAAGACAGTGATTTGTCGACATCTTTACAGAAAGGAACAATAAGCAAAAATATTGCAGTATTCTTTGCAGATAAAGTTAGGATTTCCAAGAAGTGTATAACCCTTCTAGGAAGATTTCAGTGGCAGCATGGTGGTGAGAGGCATTTTTTTAATGTGGTAACATTGCAAATGCGAGTGGACCAAAAGATATACAAAGACACAGTATATCTTTAGGGAATATATGTATGGAATTTTAAAATGGAAGGTAATTTAGTATATTCATGTTTGAAAGGTCAACTCAGAAAGAGGAAGAAATGGTCAATGGAACAAAAGTCTCAAGAGAAGGTAGAAGGGGATCAGAAGCAAAAAAAAAAGTTGGGGTGGAAAGCAGTTTCTCCTACTTGTTAAAGAGAAAAAGTAATGATGGCATCAACAACTGACTTTGGCTCTAAGAGGCAAAGTAAAAGCTCCTAAATTATTTACGTTCTTCAGATTATTCTTATTATTATTCGGGTGTACCTCCATATCCTAAGTAAATATATGTTCTCAATTATGTTTACTTGTAGTACAGACCAGATGCTCTTGCTGGAAAAACATTAAACAAATGGAAGGGAGCATCAAACTCTAAATTTCTAAAACAAAGTGAAGATAGTACTAAAAATGAGATTGGATGAGGAAAAGGACCGAGAATGAAGAAGAGGAGCTAGAAGTTGTAAGTCAGAGTAATAGTGACAAATCCTGAAGTGCGGGAATGACTAAGCCTGTGTCTCAGCAACTCAAAACAAAGGACCCTGAAAACGCCTCATTGTGAGCTGGTGTTGGGATATATCAGGTATGAAGAAGTCATGTATTTCCTCCATGATTCATATTCCTTAGAAAGGAAGACCTTAGACTATCAGGAAAACTCAAGAGTTGTTGTATTTCTTAATTCTCTTACTGGGTTCTTTAAATTTGAATGATATTGGGCCACCTATCAATTCTTTGGCTTGAGGTTGAATGAAAGAGAGAACTTTTTGCTGACTACAATATCTTCCAGATAAAGAATTCTGGGTACACTGGCTTCTGCACAGTTCTCATCCTTAAAATGCATTCTTTTGGGATATGGAAGAGAAATTTTAAAAGTTTATGGTTCCCACATTAAGCACTCATTCATGGTCAATGTCAGGAAAGGGGTAGTTGAGTATGTCAACTTCATTCTTGAATTTTGAAATGTTCTCAATGAAATTTTTCTTGCTTTGAAAACTATCTTAAAAACTATGGGAGAATAGTGTTGAATTTCACATGCTAGTATAAAAAGCTTTGAAAAAAAGCTTCTCTCCCTCCTGTTTTCAAATCAGACTAAAGAGAAGGGTTAAGAGTGAGGTAGAAGACAGATCTGTCCTTGGGTCATGGGCCACTTCCCACACTATTAGTCTTAGCCAGTACTCTCTAGTCTTCATATTCTACCCTGGCAAGTTAAACACAAGTGTGGTGTCCTTAAAGATATCTTCCAGCTCTAAAAGATTTTCTACCTATCTGAATTTTAAGTAATTTCACAGCCAAATGCAAAAAACCTTTTTTATGTTGTTCTATAAAATGAAATAGACTTTTGGTTTCCATAAATGTGACATATTCCAAGCTGTCATGAAGAAACATCTAATGAAAGTTTACATGTTAACTATATTTCAAAAGAGGGAGAGATGTTACTTAACCATTCACAGAATAATTGCAAGTAAATCCAAGTCAATTATGAGGAGTGCTTTTCTGTGTTCTTCCTTAATGGAGCTAAAGAATGAACTGTGAAATTTGAATTTCTGTTTAAGACTCCTCCTAAATATCAACAGGTTTCACAGAAGTCTTGAATTTAATGCCTAAATATTTTTCTCTATCCTGAAGTCTTTATTAAAGCCAGAGTTGATTATCTGTATTAAGAAAAAGTGGTTCACATTAGAAGAAAGTAATAGTCTCAAGTTCAAAGTGTTTTCTCAATTGCCGTCTAAGGGACTGGAGGCTTTGTGGCATGATTTTTAGTTGTGGCTTACCACATATATTTATACTTCCATATCAGTTTGATTTTTAGACAGGAAGTTTTCAGCTCTGTAATTAGCAATTCACAATGGAAGCTTTGACACTTAATTACAGTGTTGCTAAGACAATAATAATATGAGAAATACTAAAGTTGAATGCAGTATTTCTTGACACACCTCTGGCTGCTTTCTTATTGGCTAGTCAACAATTATATATGACTAGTGAATAATCCACACAGAAATGAAGATGTGTATACTGCAACAGCATGCATTTATAGCAGGTACTTCTAGTTAGGCCAAATGCAGACACTGCTTCTGATTTGGTCCAAAACATTAAGGGCAGCAGCCCTGGAGAATATCATCAGAGACTGCTCTAGACTCAGAGAACCCTCCACATTCCGCATCTGAAGCATCTTCTACTACTCCAGGTTGGATTACCCTTTAAAGGAGAGGCGATGGCATTTTATCCCCTCCAAATTGCTGGGCTGGTTCTTGGGTTTCTTGGCATGGTTGGGACTCTTGCCACAACCCTTCTGCCTCAATGGAGAGTTTCAGCTTTTATTGGCAGCAACATCATTATCTTTGAGAGACTCTGGGAAGGGCTCTGGATGAACTGTGTCCGCCAAGCCAAGGTCACGCTGCAGTGCAAGTTCTACACCTCCATGCTGGCTCTCCCACCTGTCGTGGAAGCAGCAAGAGCCCTCATGTGCGTAGCCGTTGCTCTCTCCTTCATTGCTCTCATCATTGGCATCTGTGGCATGAAGCAGGTCCAGTGCACAGGTTCTGATGAGAGGGTCAAAGCATACCTTCTTGGAACTTCCGGAGTCCTCTTCATCTTGACGGGCATCTTTGTTCTGATTCCAGTGTGCTGGACAGCCAATATCATCATCAGGGAATTCTACAACCCAGCCATCCCCATCGGTCAGAAACGAGAGCTGGGAGCAGCCCTTTTCCTGGGCTGGGCGAGCACTGCGGTCCTCTTCATCGGAGGGGGTCTGCTCTGTGGATTCTGGTGTTGCAACAGAAAGAAGCAATGGCGCAGATATCCAGCCCCCGCACACTGTGTGCCGTCCAAACAGAAGCAAAAGAACGTGACCGGGCTCAGAAAGACCTCCACCAGTTATGTCTAACACGTGCTTTCACACCAACTACGGATTATGGTCAATGCATTTTTTAAAAGTCCTGCCAGAAACTGTAAGTATGTCAGGCAGGAGAACTTTGCTCATAGCTAGATTTAAAATGAGACGAATATTGTAATTTGTCACCTGAGGCGGAAATGTCAATGACATACTTGGCTATACTGATCTCTTGTGTATAAATGCATTTTCTATTTATTGGACTCAACACCCATTTCAAATTATGTGCTCTAAAACCAAGAATATTCTTAATCATTAAAAAGTATATAATGATGGACTATTCCTTTCTATCATATATTTTGTGGCAAGACATATAAAATTGCAATTGCTAATTCATAGAAATTAAAAAGATAACCTATTATTTTTCCTCCAAATTATCTCTTATATACTTAATAACAGCTAAATGGTGATAATCTTGAAGAATCATCCTGGAAAACTTTATATATCAAATAAATAATGATTTTTGGTTGAATTGATCCAAATGGAGAAATGTGGAAATTCTTGTTCAATGAAAGGTGTTTTTCTTTTTGTATTCCTTTAGGAGATACACTAAAATTTCCACACATTAAAAGATAAAGAAGTTCTGATTTCTCTAAGATCATGCATGAAGATGGTTTCTAAGTCCCCAGTGCAACAGTTAAACTTGCCTAGAATTACATATTCAAAAGAAAATAATTTATAAATCCAAAAGATTATGCTTTCATAGCTTATGATTTCTATCTCTGATCGAACAGAAGTGTCTATCCTGATAGTACAAAGCTATTCACAAATTCTCATCAAAAAAGATACACATCATGATTAGAGAATTTAGATTTGGATGTTGAAGAGAATGGTTTCTGTTCCTTGTTTTATTCTTTAGTCACTGTGCAGGTTTAAGCATGCTAATAAAAAAGAAGAATCAAGATGATCTTTCACGGAATTAGGCAGGCTTAAGTAAATAACTCCTTTTTATTCTCCAATAAACAAATAGTCATGGTGAAAATATTTTATGTTGTTTTAATTATATGCATTATTTTCTCAATTCTTCATTTCCCATGTGCATATCCTAATGTGCAGGTTCAAAGTGGAGACAGTTGTGTGGGAATGGGTGGGGAGTGTTTGTGAGGAGAGATTTCTCCTATGGGCTGCTTCTACAGAAACCCAATATTTTGTGAATCAATCCTTATATATTCAGTTTCATCCCACATATATTATTTTATCTTCTGATATATGTAATTTATAGTATATAATAGCAAAAAAAGAATTTGTTCAGCAAATATTTACTGTATGTCCATCCTTATAGGAAAGTAATAAAAGTTACTATTATAATGATTGTTGACATATGAATTTAGAATGAATTTCTGTCCTCAAAAGTTCACTTGCTAACTCTGACTTTAAATTATCAATAATTCATTGTGATATCTTGATCTCAAACCTTTACTCCATTCTACAAACCACCAGCAAGTCCTCAGATATTCAAAATGTTTAGTAATATAACACTGTATTAAAACCACTAGTAATATTTAAATGGTAAGGTTCACATAAATATAAATATGTTCACATCATAGCAATAAAAATTTTAAAAAACAGTGATTTAGGTGGAGTTCTCCTAACATTTGTTTTCCTGGTTAATATTGCTTATATCTAAAAGGACTAATTTATCTTATACAGTCAAATAAGTAAGACAAGAAGACAGCAATATATATACTTAAAGGTTGTCATGAAAGCATTTGTCTTCTCTTTTTACTCACCTAAATGTAATTAGTTTTACAAGGATGGGCTTCTTATATTAAATGAGGTATGTGATTCTGCTGGTCAGAGGAACCTAGAGTATAAAGGTGTAACAGTGAGCAGAACAATGACATAACATTAGCTATTAATTGTGTATCAAAAATGTGGAACTAACAATTCTGGTTCTTGCTTTTTCATTAATCAAAGTTAACTCTTGAAAAGTAATTTCTACATCCCCTATTTGGTTGCAATATTTTCTCTACTCCATCAATAGAAATTTCAGTAATTTTCAATGAGTTTCAAATGTAAATCCCATACCACAAACCTAGGCAGACAAGAAATATGTCTATTTTTCTAAAACTTAATCAAAATTCAACTTGTGAATACTTTCTCACATATTACCCAGTTCTTGGAATCTTATGTCAGACTGAGCAGTACTTGAGTCTGTGAGTTTAGGAGATCAATTCAATATCATCAGTCCAGGACATTATCTGTGAAATTGTTCATTGTAGTGTCACCTTGGTCTTTTGGGGCTTCTCAGGTCTGTCATTTCTCTGTCATACTTGGCCATCTTCTGAAAGACCTGCTCATGAATCCTTTCTGCTCAGTGATTACAAACTTGGCTGCAATTAAAATGGTGTGGGGAACTTTGAAAAATACCAACACACCCCATGTTAAGATGATCTCTGCCACTATTTCCAATAGTTAGGACCCAAAACTTGACCTGCTGAGCTGCCTAACAGCTGGCCACTACACTGATATAGAGGGCAAAATTACTGCTTCCTCTAAAAGATTGTTTTTGATGTCACCTCCACAATCCCCCTTCCTCTCCATTTTATAAAATTTATACAATTTTATAGATGTTTTCAAAAACAAAATACATCCAAAATGAAACTCTTCTAGCCTATTTTTTTCCTTGATTTTGCTATAAACTCAGTGAAGTACATAGCTAACTACAAGCTAACTATACTGGAGAGTGAGGAACACAAAAAGGAAAAAAAAACTGAGGAAGTAAATTAGTAAAGTAAATTATTACGGTATAACATTATTTAACACATACATTATCAAAGATGTTTCAAAAGTATGACTCTTTTGTAGTTTTCAAAATGCATGCTAATAACCCTGTTATAAAAAATCTGGACATAATCTAAACCATTGTTTGGGGTTCTTTTTCTGCTAAGAACCACCATGTAACGTGGACAATGTAGACTTCATTATTAACATAGTTCAACTAAAATAATTGAAATGTACAAGGTTACATGACTTGGCACATAGGTCTTAATACATATTTAAAGAATGATCAAGAACCAATCTGCAGACAGTATAATAGTTTGAGATTTTATCTCATATTGTTTCTTTCCTTCTCCAGGGAAGAGATAAAACAATAAACAACTCAATAAATAAACTTAATAAACAACATAATAATAAACAACTTAGATAATAAACAATAATAAACAATAAACAACTTAATAATAAAACAACTTAGGCATGTATAGATGGTTGTTGCTTTTTGAGTCTGAACCGTATGAATTATGAGGAGACTCTGGGCAAAGAATAGTATTGCTCAGCCAGGTGGAAGCCAAGGTTTCATTGCACTTAAGATTATAAAATGATTTTATTTTATGAGTATAAAACAGAAAGAAGCAGAATGAAGAAGGCCTACATGGCAACGGACTTCTGGAGAAGAGGAGCCAGGTGCTCTCCTCCTAGCCCAGCTCCGCGGGACTGAGACATGTGGAAATGATAAACTCTCAGATGGGTTTGAGAGTCCAAGGACAGATATCAAATGTGGCCTGACCCAGTATAGCCAAGCATGTGGACAGATTTTCCCATGCCCTCCCTGTACTGAGGGATAAGAAATTTATCTACGAAGTTCTTAGCCTAAAAGGCAAACATAATCTTGACAAGTTTCCTACAGCTAGAATACTATAGGGGGCAGAAGAAAACATGTCCTGCCCCCTAAAGAGTCAGACTCAGAGGCCTAGAGTTTAGGACAAGGAGAGTCAGCAATAATATAAGCACATAGATAAATGGCTCATCCATGACCTGTTTAACCTCAGATCCATTCCTTACTCCTACTCTGCAATAATCTGTGTCTCATGGAGGCTGATGCTCAGGGGTTGTGCAGTGCCATGTTAAGAGTGGGTGCTGAGAGGGTCCCACGAGGTACAGGCAAAAAACAAAAGGATTCTATCTCCAAAGAATTTAAAAGCAACAGTAAAATCAGTTAAATATTGAGTCTGTGCATTACTATTTTTCACTTGGTAATCTTTTTAAATAATAGCGGTGATAAAGCATTTCTAAAAAAAGAAGTGAATGTTGATCTAAATTCTGAATGGTTATTATTTTTACCACTCAGATAGATAGATGATAGACTGTGAATTGGCTGAAATGTGTCTCCATCAGCAGTTCATGTGTTGATGTCATAACCTCAGAAGGTTAAGATGTGACTTTATTTAAAGATAGAATTTTTATGGAAGTGATTACATTAAAATTAGGTTGTTAGGCTGGGACCTAATCAAATATATGACCAATATTCTTGATAAAGAGAAACTGGGACACAGATAGGTATGGAGGGGAGACAATGTGAAGACATGGGAAGAATACAGCCATCTAGAAGCCATAAATGGGCCCAGAGTAGATCCTCCCCTCACAGCTCTCAGAAGGAACCAACTCTGTCAACACCTTGATTTCTAGATGCCAGAACTGAAAGGAAACAAATTTCTGATTTTTTAATTATCCTGTCTGTGATACGGCAGCCCTAGCAAACTTAGGTAGATAAAAAGATAAGCAGGTAGGTATAGATTAGATAGGCAGACAACTGATAGATAGGTGGCAGATGGATGATATAGAAAGATGACAGAGAGATAGATGCTAGAGAGACGATGCTACTAGATGTCTGATACACACAGTAGAGGTGACTGATAATGTAGATGATCAGTTAGGTATGTAAAAATCTGATCAGTATGCATAGTAGATAGCTGATGGATAGATAGATGCTGTATGTATGCTGCAGTATCTCTAACATTTATAGACTTGACTGCTTGTGTTTGCTATAAATATAAATAGAGTTTTATCCTAGATTCAGATTCAACAGGGCATGTTTTTCTAAGGCATTCTTCAACCATTCTGTTTTATTGTTTTAACTTTTAAGCAAAATTAAAACAGTTGCAATAAAATAGCAGAATTGAAATAACTGCTGTTCTCTTTCAATGTCGTCACAGTTTCTGTGTTTTAGAAATTAGAGGCACAATCTACAAAGTAGCTAGTTTGAATGATTGTAGCTTGTTTTGAACTTGTAGAATTTCTTCAGGGTAAAGTCTATAAAGGAAAATAATGTTGACTAAAGACTAAATAATAATAATATGCTAACCAATTTATGCTGGAAAATAGTTTTGTTTAAAAAGAGTGATATATCAAAAAGTGATTTCTTGCAGGGATCAAATTCTCTCCATAGACCACTAGAGCTGCCTTTCCCCAGCTGCTGTGGTCAGCCACTGTCTGCCCGCCTGCCTGCCTGCCCTGCCAGTAGAAGGGAGGCACTGGGGAAGACTGGCATCCCTTTCCCCTCTCTCTCTGCCTTGGACA